CCTGCAGAGCCCCAGTCCCTCCATCCTGCCCAGCCCTGGCTCGGCCGCAGTCCCTCTTCCAGCGAGGGCTGCAGGGCAGGGGGAGGTCTCCAGCGCCGGTTACTGCTCCTCATGCCCTGCTCCCAGCGGCTCCTCCGGGCTGTCCGAGTGCGGCTCGTCCATGCCGAAGTCGCTCCAGTACGGGAAGCTCTCCAGGCAGCTCGGCCCTTGAGGGCTTCCCAGGCCGGCACAGCTGGGAAGAGAGGAAGGGATGTGGGAATGACGCAGGGCTGAGGTGCCCGCCTGTCTCCAAGACAACGGCTGCCTCCCCGGCACAACCTCAGCTCCCAGCCGCTCGCACGCAAACCCCGAGCAGCAGAGGGGGAAGGTGCCAGCAGGCAGAGGCAGCCGGGGCTGCAGCCCCGAGGGATGGACAGAGCCACCCTGCCTGGGTACCAGTGCCTGGCCCTGCGCTGCTGCTCACCCCCAAAGCCCTTCCTGAAGCCAGAAGGGCTCTGGTTCAAGCAGGTCTCTCCCTGGAGTCCAGACAAACCCCCCAGGGAGATGCCTGATAAATGCCCCAGCAGGCAGCAAGCTCTGTGAAGCTCTGATGGGCACAAGGAACTGCAGAGCCCACTCATGCTGGGAGGACGAAGGCGAGATGCACAGAAAGCTCTGGAAGCCTCCAAAGGCTCCTCACTCTCCAGAGATTAAGGGAGGAGAGAAGCTGAAGACCTTTGTAAATCTCAGCTTAAGGTCTGAGAGACCCAAGCTCTTTCCTTGCCCACGGCCAGGGCAGGACACCCTCCTGGTGTGCAGCACAGGAGGCTGCTGGTGACAGCCCAGGTTGCCCAGCTCCGATGGCCTAACCCCCAGGGACGCAGGGCTGGGGAACACGTGCTCAATGCATTCCCTTAAGTGCCTGGGACAGGGAAACTCCAAACCATGCAGGGGGCTCCAGGCAGCTCCTTGGCTCGCTCCTGCCTTACCTGCCCTGCAGGTCCCCCCCCGGCAGCAGCGTGGGGCGGCTCTCCTCCTCCTGCACCCAGCCACAGTTGGACATGGCATAGTGCAGGATGGCTTCCGTCACCGTCTGCGGGCCCTGGCCTTGCACACACGCCTCTATCTCGGGCACCGAGAGCTGGCTCTGCAGGAAGAGGTGCAGGCGGCTGTCGGAGAGGAGCACCACGTTCTGCACCACCCTGTGCACACAGAGAGGAGGGCGGCTGAGGCGGGAGCACCACGGGGTGCCCACCCCGCCAAGGGGACGCAGCTCCACTGTCACCTCCCCAGGCAGCAGCCCCGAAGCCCGGCTGGAGCAGCGGGTCCTGTGCCCTCCCCTCCAGCCCTCAGCAATGCTCCACTCACTTCTCCAGGAACTGCTGCAGGCCCTGCCTCCGCTTCTCGATGAACTCATCCGTGCTGCCCACGAAGAAGGTGGATTTCCCGGGCAGCTCTGGGACAGGCCTGCAGGGACAGAGCAGAACCACATCACCCCGGAGCAAGGAGACACGGGGGGCCCCAGGAGCTCAGCTATCCCATGTTAGTGCCTGGAGTTTCTATCCACATCTGTCCCGAGTTCACGGGGGTCAATGGGAAACGGTGTCTGGCTGCAGGAAGGGGAAAGGAGGGAGAGCAAGGCAGGGGCATGCTTACACCAGGCCAGCATTCTTCTGGAGCTGCCTCCTCAGCCACACGAATTCACGGTACCGGCGCCGCACACACGAGGTCTTGGCAGTGAAGGCCTTGCTGTTGGTCTGCGGAACAACCCCAAAACAGGGAATAATCCCCATGACATGGGAATAATCCACATGCTCGAGGCGCAGCAAAGCAGAGGAAGGCAGGAGCTTGCAAGCACAGAGCACAGGGACTAAGGGATCCCCTCGAAGCAATGAGGTTTGGAAGAGCTCAAAGTGCCTTGAAAAGCTGAGCAGGCTCCAGGGGAGAAGCTGGGTCTCAGACCTGCACAGGAGGAGGGTGCTGAGGGTTCCCCCTTCAGAGCCCCTTCCGTCCTTGCTCAGCACAGCCACCCATGGCCACACAAACGCACTCAGGAGCCTCACGACCCAGCTCTGGAGCTCGCCCCTGTCCCACAGCCACAACTCACGTGGAGGAAGATCTTGTAATCCACATAGGAATTCCAGGAGCCTTCATTCTGCACCCGAGGGTCCTGGACACGCACCGTGGTCAGCTCCTAAGGCACAAGCACTGCCTGAGGGGGGGCACTGTCACCAGCTGCCCCTCAGACCCTGCCCAGCACCCAGCACCCCTCGCCCCAGCCAGGAGCACAGAGAGCCCAGGTCAGAAAGGTTCTTACTTCCTCTCGGTTCTCCAACATCCTAAAGCCAGAGCCCAGCGGGAAACATCTGGAGGGAGAAAACAGAAGGATTTAGGAAGCCAGGTTCAACACATGAGGGTCTCACAGGGACTCTGCCCCTCTCAGCATTGTCCTATCCCGTAGGCAGCTCTCCAGCCCCCATGGCCACACTCTCTGCCTGCTCCTCTCCTTTCAGTCACCACATCAAGAGGATGCATTCAAGCCCACAGTGAAGAGAGCATCCAGTTCCACCACTGTGTGCTCCTGCAGGACTTCCTGTTCTGCACCATCATCACAGCGCCAAGGCTTGGAGGAAAGGGGGGGGGAACAGCAAGATAACCCCCACAGCCCCAAGAAAAGCACAATCCAGCCAGTGGAAGCCTTTCAGAGAGGGTCCCTCCCACCCCACAGACACCTTGTGTGCACACAGAGCAGGAAGACTCGTCAGGGGGAGCTGGAAGACCAAACATATCCCATGGCCTGGCTTCACCTCGGCTGTGGGATGGGTTGGAGGCGGTTTTGGAGCTCCTGGGCTGAGGCAGCAGCACTCTGTGCTCATGGAGCAACCCTTCACCTGTTCCCCATTCCTGGAGCCGTGCCTTTTGGGCCATGGGAGCTGCCAAGTGCCAGGCAGCACTGGAGAGCCAGCCTTTATTTATACGCTCAGATGCGAAGCGAAGCTCTTGTGAAGACAGAGCTAATTTTAGCTGGGACACGGGGAGGGGCTGAGCCACAAACCACGCTGGAAAAATCCCGCTCCACCGGTTTGCAGGTGCTCTCCATAGGCCTGGAGCCACCCCATCCCAGAGCACACAAAGCCTTAATGGCAGCAGAGGGGAGCTTGGGGCTAAGAGAGCAAAGAGAGCCCCGCTCTGAGCTGCCTCCCAGGAGCTCAATTCTGTTGGAGCTGGGTCAGGCCGCTGCTGTTCCCAATTGGAGCTGTAAAGGGGGAGGGCGAGGGGAACCTCCCAAAATAACCCCCAGCCCACGCCGCAGCACACGTGATGCTTCCCCTGGGGAAGGAGGGGAGCGCAGGAGCCAAATGTGACACCAGTGAGTCACTGCTCAGCACGGGAAGAGGGGGAGCTCCGGCCTCCCCCGTGCTGGGGGCTCCCAGCCAGACCCAGTCCAGCAGCAGGGCTCCACCATCCTCTTCCCTGGGGATGCTGCCGCCCATCCCGTTGCTTTTAGAGCTCCTTGTTTTGCGTAACAGCCCTGGTGAGATTAAAAATGCAGGAGGGAGAAGAGGGAGCCACAGAAGTTGCCTAATGGCACAGCGGAGGGTTGCCAGGAGGTGGAATTCGCTCTCCCAGCTATGGAAAGGTGCTCTTAAGAGCAGAGGGACCCACAGGGAGGAGGTGGCTCCCTGCAGGCAGCGAGGAGCCAGACAGGCTGCAGGAAAGCAGGGCTCAGGGAGTCCGAAGGCTCCCATCTGCTTCCATGCAGAGTTGCACCAAGAAACGTGTGATCTTATTTATGCCTTATTGGGAGTTAATTGATCTTAACTTCATAAATCAACTTACACCCAGCGCAGGAGGCAGCTCCCAGGCAGCTTTAAGCAGTTGCACCAAATCCTCTTTCAAGGATTCTTTCGAGCCTCGGCCTAAGGGACCCTGAGATACGTGGCTGGGTTCGGTTTTATCTTCCTCCCATTTGCGTTTCAGTGCTCCCAGGTTGAGGCTTTCAGGGTCTCACAGGGAGAAGAGGCGGAGGGCAGAGAGGCACATCCCATGGCCCTGCCCAGCACGGCTCCGGATGCAGTCCCCCGCGCTCGCACTGCGGACAGAGAAAGTGACAGCTTTTATCTCTGCCCTGCTATCTGCTATCTTCCTGCTGACTCAGACACGGCCTTAACAGCAGCCTCCATCCCTCTGGAACAGCGGGACCTGCCTGGAACGCCCTCTCCTAACCAGCACACACCAGTGGCAGCCCAGAGGCCCCACTCCAGCCCCATGTCACGTCCGTCTGTGCCCGCACATCTCTGCTCCAGGCGCCTTCCAGCCCCACGGCAGCCTCTGCATTTAGAGGAACGCCTCGCAGAGCTCCACGGCACAGAACCGGGAACGAGCCCCGTCTGTTGCTGCTTTTGCCCGTCACGCTCGGACAGAGCTGCCCACAGCCGGCACCGGAGCGGCTCTCCTGACGTCGTTCCCCCATTTAGGAAGGAAGAGGCTCCCCGTTAAGATGGGTGCCCCAAACCCAGGCCCCGCTGCCCACCGGGGGGTGGCCCCAGCCAGCCCAGCGCACCGACACCCGGCCCCGGGGACCGGTAACGGGAGGGGGGGGCCTGGGCCCAGCGCCCGTTCTCGGGGCCCGGCCCCGCCGCCTCGAGCGGGCCAAGGGCTCCCCCCGGGGCCCGGGCGCTGCCTGCGCGGGGCCCAGCCCCGCAGCACCGGGTCCCGCACCGAGCACTCACAAACCGCCCCCCGGGGCCCCCTCACCTCCTCCCGCAGGCCGCGGCCCCTTTAAGCGGCGCGGCAGCGCGGCGGCCTTATACCGCAAGCGGCGCTTCCCCTCTTCCGGCGCGGGGTGTGCCGGGAGTTGTAGTTCGCAGCCTCCGAGCAGCCTGCGTAGGCAGCGCGGCGGAGAACTACACTTCCCATCGTGCCCCGAGGCGGGGAGGGGGAGAGGACTACGCCTCCCATGGTGCCCCGCGGCGGGCGCGGGTCGCGGCGCAGGCGCAGTGCGCACGGCGGGCACCGGGGCTGGCCGGGCTCTTTTGTTCGAGGGAGGCGGACGGAGCGCGGCCAGGCCCGCGGCGACACGGAGCGGGGCCGCCTGCAGCGACACGGAGCGGGGCCGCCTGCAGCCCCTTCCCTCGGCGGCGGTTGGCGGGGCTGTGCAAGGTGCGGGGAGGCCGCGGGCGGGGGGGGCGCGGGGGGGGGTGTGGGGGGCTGAGGGGGGGGGGTGCTGTGGTAAAACCGGGCGCTGTGGGGGGAACCGGGCGGGAGGGGGGGGTGAAGGCGCTGAGGTGGGGGTGAGGGGGTTAAAGGGGGTGTGTGTGGAAAGGGGGGGGCTTGGGAAGCGCTAATGGGGATTTTGGGGGTGCTGGGCCCCTCAAAGAGCGGGAGCCGAGGGGTTGGGCCCGAGGTAAAGCGGGGCCCGGGCGGTGCTTGGGGAGCCCCCGGCGCTGGGGGCTTTGGGCGGAGGAGGAAGATGGGGGCTGGTGCGGGGGTCCGGGTTTGGGGGTGGAAGTGTGCTTCGGGAGCAGCGTGCCCTGCGTGGGGAATGGGGCGCTTGGACGGGACGGAGGAGCCGCTGCTCCCTGCGGGACTGAGCCGGGAAGGAGGAGGAGGGCTCCGGGCTCCGGCCGCGGGGAGGGGAGGGGACGAGCGGCCGCTTTTGGCGGGGAGAATGAGCGGGAAGCGCTCCGCGGGCTGCGGGAGGCCAGGAACGGGATGGGGCTGATCCCGGCGGAGCGACGGCGGGGGGGGGGAGCCCAGCGTGGGGCTGGAGGGAGGTGGAGAAGGGACGGTTGTAGCTGGAAGCGGGGGGATGCAGCAGGAGCTGGTGTTGGGTCAAGCCCTGCTCTCCCATAGTGCGGGGTGAGGGTCTGGGCAGCTCCTCCGGCTGCTTTTTGGGAGCTGTGGGATTCAATCCACGCTTGGAATGGGAGTGGATAAAGCGGCTGGGGGGAAGAATTAGGGCTTGTGGAAAGGGAAGGTGGTGGAGCCAAAGTGGGATTCGTACCTGTGTGGTGAAGGAGGTGGCGGATGTGGAGCTGTCCCTGGAGCTGCTGAGAGGGCAGCAGTGGGGTTGGGCTCGGGGCTGTGGAGCTGGTGTGGAGGAGGTGGCATGGGGGCTGAATGGGGAGGTCTCAGCGATGGGGCAGTGCTCGGTGATGGGTTTGGAAGCAGCAAGCGCGTATTGTCCCTATGAACTGAGGGATCGAAGTGGGAAGGGGTTTTCTGGCTGCCTAATTCCAGGGTTAAAAATCCCCATGCATTTGAGAGGGGAAGGTGTTTGTGACGGGATAGAATCATGGAATGGTTTGTGTTGGAAGGGACCTGAAAGCTCATCCAGTTCCTCCACACCTTCCACTAGGGCAGCTTGCTCCAAACCCTATCCAACCTGGCCTTGCCCACTGCCAGGGATGGGGATGCTCGGGATGAAGGGATGCTCCATTGGTTGGTGACCCGGGCTCGGTTTCCTATCAGTGCTTGAGATCCTGGTAGTGGGAATGATGAGAATGAAGATGTGGCTGCTCCAAGCCCTGCCCAGCGCCAGGAAGAGGCAAAACCACCCAGGTCTGGGAGCGCAGGCGGGCAGCACTGGGGAGATGCCCCTGGATGCGGCCCCAGAGTCCATAGGGATGAAGGTTGGAGGGGAAGGCGCTGCAGAGACCTGGGGTTGCTTGTGAGAGGGACACAGCACGGTGTCAGGGGCACTGGAAAACCAGGAATTCCATAGCACTTGGGGCAGTGCTTTCCCCACAAAAGGGAGCAGAAGAATGCAAATCCCTGCTCTCATTCCCAGAGCGTTTATCTGATCTAGAGGAGTTCAGCGCTTGTGTCCGCCTCAGTCACATCATTCCTGGTGGTGTGACGGGATTTCTTCCCTCGGGTTCTGATTTTCATCCCTCCTGTTGCATGTGTGCTCCTCGGAAATGCAGAAGTGCTTTCTCTGCTGGATTGTGAACTGAACTGGGAATGATGGGGCTGAACTGGAAGCTTGTGGCTTTGCTCTCAGCTCAAAGGCTGGAGCTTTCCCTTCACCTTTCCAGGCCTGTTTCCTTGCTCTTCCCAGCTTCTGGAGAGTGGAAGCCTTAAAGTGCTGCTTCCCACTTCAAAAGAAAGATCCCTTTCCCTGGCGCGTGCAGGATGCGCTTGGCGTGCTCAGGAGTCTTTATAGAGACGAGCGGTCGCAGCCAAGGAGGGAGGCAGGAGGAGGAAGCGTTTTAGGTTTAAAGCTCCTGGAAGCGGAGCTGAGCCGTTGTTAGTCCTTGAAGATGCAGCCAATGAGTCTGTGCTCAGTGAAACCTCGGAGCTTTCTTCTTAGCCTGCTCTTCCTTTGCCTTTCTGAACCTTCTTCCACCGCTGAGACCAGCACCAGGCATCCCAGGAGGCTGTGGGGAGAGCTTCCTGATTTCCAAAGGCAGTGTTCTCCCCACGGGGCTGGGTGCTGTTCTCTTGGTACCAGCATCTGACCCACACTGCTCCCATTTCCCCGCTAGCACAGGCTTCTGTGGCAGCACTGCCTTCAGCCCCTCTTTCTTCGTGGCCTTTTACCAGAGGCTGAATCCTTTTCCAGTGGCTCAGGTCTGTCCTGGACCCTTTTCCCTTTAGCTGCACCAAGAAGTTATCCTTTTGGTCTCTCCCTTTTCTGCTTTCCTCTTCCCAAAGGCTTTCAGCTTTGCCTTGAGTGTTGGGGAGGAAGCAGGAAATGCAAATGGAAAGCTTTGGCAAAGGCCCATCCTGAATTTGTCTTGAGATCCTATTTTTTCAGCATGAGCCAACTTTATTTCACACATCAAGTATAGAAGATTGAAGCTGGATTTTAGGCAATGTACAACTGATGAGATCTCTCTGAGGCAGGACTCACCCAGCCCTGAGTCCCATAGACACGAGTCTGCTCATGGCAACACCGTAAGAGTTGTCTGTCCTCCCTAAGAATGCCCAGGCAGAACGCATCAGCTTCATCCTGCACCTCTGGTGTGAGATGTGTGCGTTTGCAAGCTCTGGAGACGAGGGAGCAGAGCACGGGGTGAGTCTTCCCCACGCTGCCTTTCCAAAGAGATGGAACTCTCCCACCCCAAACCTCTCCCACTTCCTCCAGGGACCAGAACCCAGCCAGTGCTTTGGGTGCTTTGTTTTGAACACCTCAGACTGGAGGCTTTGGATGTTCCTGAGCACAGGAGGCTGAAATCCCTGTTCCACAGCAGCATTTCTGATGTGGAGGGTTTGGGGAGCAGCTTTGCAGCTAAAGCCATGAGTCTGTGCTCCCGGGGGGGCCGAGTCCTTTTTCTCTTGCACTGAGCTGCGTGTTTGACTGCAGTGCAGCGAGAGGCCTGTGCAGCAGCTTCCCTCCGTGCTGGCTCTGTGCTTGCAGCAGCAGCGCTGTGAGCTACAGCTCGGCCTTATCCCCATGGATATCCCTTTATCCCTATGGATATCCCCTTATCCCCTCTGGTTTGCAGGCTCCAGAGGCAGACCCACACGTTGTCCTGTTTGTGAGCAGGCATGAGGAGCTGCAGAGGCAGAGCAGGGCTCTGCATGGGGGTGATGCTGGTACTCCGGGGTGTAAATGCCCCCAGTAGAACCAGGGCAGTGCCTGCTGGAAGGAGCAGGCCCTGAGTGAGTGTCTGGGGGCTTTGCAGAGGTTGCTGCCTGCCAGATGCTTGCACTCGGGTTGCTGCAGCCCTTTGCACTGGGTTATTGGTCCCTCCCCTTGGCAAGCTCTTTCTCACAGCGCTCCTGGCCTTGGATTTGCATCTTTTGCCACAATAAAATGCTGGATCTGGACTATTGCATTGCTCTGTTGCCTCTGTTTCCCTTTCCACGCCTACCTGTCCTACACCACCTCGAGCTTCAGCAGCTCCCCTCTGAGCATTGGGGCCAGACTGTACCGTTAAGCTCTTTGATCCTGTGTTGCCTTCTTGGGAAGTTGCCCAAGTGGCCCAGGGATCCAGCCGAGCATCCAGAGGTGCCTTCAAAACAAGTCCATCTCCAAGCAGAAACCACAGCACTTTCCACTGAAGTCTTCGTAGAATCCCAGCCTGGTTTGGCTTGGAAGGGACCTGCAAGCCCATCGAGCTCCAGGTGCCTGTGTCCAGCCTGGCCTTGAACACTGCCAGGGATGGGGCAGCCACAGCTGCTCTGGGCACCCTGTGCCAGCACCTCAGCACCCTCAAACAGAAGAGCTTCTGCCTCATTTTAATCTAATCTAAGTCCCTTTGCCTGCAGCTGAACAGAAGTGGCTGCTGAGGGAGGGGGAGCCTGATCCACCCCTCTGGGCCGTGCCAGGGTTTATTTGCAACAGCATCTTCATGGGGACCTCCTCAGCTGGAGCACACTCTGCCCTGGCCCCTTCTCCATAGGAGGGGAAGGATCCTGTTGGTGCCAGGATCTCAGCCTCCTCCTGGAGGCCACCAGTAAAAGCAAAGCAAGGGAGATCTCTAGTGCTAAACATGAGCAGAAGGAGGAAAAGGCTTCTGATGCAGAGCCTGGGCTCAGTGAGCACCAAGCACCTCCTGATGCCAGCACCCACTGTGGCCTGGCCCTGCAGGGGGAAGATGGAAGATGTCTGTCTGGCAGCAAGCGTGGTCCAAGTATAAGCACATCAATCCAGCTCCTGCCGAGCTGGGAGGTGCTGCTTCTCCCTCTGCACTCTTTCATGCTCCTCAGCTGCCTTCAAGCCCTGTCTGTGGGGTAGCAGCAGAGGTGGGGTGCTCTGGGGTGCACTGTGCTCCCTCCCATCCTGTCTGCTGTGGCTTCTGCTGCTCTGAACTGGTAACTTTGGAGCCTTTGGGCCTGGTTTGAGCTTTCTCCTTTGATACCCCAACAGCAGCATCTTGTGCCCCAGGGAGCTCATCCAGCTGCACCTTGAGAGCTGGGGGTGCTGCTGAACCCTGGCATCTCCTTCAGCCAGTGTGGAGCTGCGGGTCTGGGCTGAGGTCGAAACCCAGCCCATTTCACAGGGATATTTACTAGAATGAGTTCTGTTCTAGAAGGTTCGTGCTAAACCTGAGTGGCAAAACAAGAACGTTCCCAGGCAGGGAACGTGTGACCCTTTGCTTGGCAGAAAACAGGGATTTTCCTGGCATTTCAAAGGAGTCCTGTTCCTCAGTGCAGCAGGGTGGGATCGGGGCGGGGGGGGGGGGCTGAGGTGCAGGGCTGGGTTTGGGTGGTCTGGGTCCTGTTGAAAGCTTCATTCACCAGGGGCTCTCTGTGACAGCAGAGATAACAGATGGGGAGACCTGGACCCTCCTGACCCTTTGGTTGGTATCCGTCAGTGCAGCTCCAGTGTGCTTGGTTCTCGGGAGCAGGGGCTGGTGATGAGATCAGGGTCTTCAGCCTGAAGACAAAACCCTTCCCAGACGCTCACTGGTGCCTTGGCAGCGGCGCTGGGACCTTCTGGTGTAACTGGGAGCAGGCAAGAAGTGGCTGGGGAGCGTTTGCAAGGAGCAGGGGTGCTCCTGGCGGGGCCGAGGCGGGCGCTGCCAGCAGCAGCAGCAGGGACGGGCTGTCCCACAGGGGCTCTCCCTGCGCCGAGCTGGGTTTCAGCGGGGAAGCGGGGCCTCTCTGTGGTTTCTGGCTCTCTCAAGTGCTTCCTTGCAGGCTGGGGAAGTGCCCAGGCTCTGGCAGGGGCTGCTGCTCCTCTGCAGTCCCCAGTGTGTGAGTGGGGAGCGGAGCTGCACCCAGGGCTGCCCCATCACGCGTTACGTGCATAGCTGCAGCCACTGCCCAGCAGCACTGGACATGCTGGCAGCCATCTGACTGCCCAAACAGCCCGGAAAGAGAAGGAAAAAGGCAAAAGAGTATTTTGGGGTTGGTGACTTGGATGAATATCCCATGTGCACGTGCATGGAGCAGCAAGGAAATGAACGCAGGGAGCTCGGCATCATGGCTGTGATGTGTTTTGAACTTGGAGTAACTGTTTAGTATCTATCAGCAACGTGCTGCTGTCTGCCTCCCACTGCCCCACAGCTCTGCAGATGCTCTCTGCCACAGCGGGCAGGGTAGAACTAAGCTGAAGGGGAAGGAAGAGGAGAGGACAGGGTGAGGGGGACATGAGGGGCTCAGCAGGGGAAGGGCAGGGTTTGAAGCAGTGGGGTGCTGCTTTGTTCCTGGAGGCCGATAGGCAACACATGAAAGCAGTGTGTTCGAGCCATGGGGTGCTGAAAACAGGGACAGAACATGGGTGGAATCAGGGAGACCAAAAGGCCAAGGCTTCAGATCAAAAAGACTCCTGCTCGAGCCTCCTTTTGCCTTTTTGTTATCTGCTTTGGATGAACCTGTTTGCTCCAAAGCAGCATTCCTGCTCTGTGCTTTGTCTCTGTGTACCCAACACTTTGGCTGCCTGGCAGAGGCAAACCTGACCTTGACCCTAACACGTTGGTTCCCTCTCTTCCCTTAGCAGCGTCGCCCGTAAGCTGAAAAACTGGCCAGCACAATGGGAAAAAAACAGAACAAGAAGAAAGTGGAAGAGGTTTTAGAGGAAGAGGAGGAGGAGTATGTGGTGGAGAAGGTCCTGGATCGGCGAGTGGTGAAGGGCAAAGTGGAATACCTGCTCAAGTGGAAGGGCTTCTCAGAGTAAGTGCCTCCCTGCTGCTGCTGTGGGGTGGGTCTGGGCTGCTCCGGTGCGAGCATCTCCTCCTGGGTGGGAGGCTTAGTGTCCCGCTGCCTCTCCTTGGCTGGAAAGTGGAGCTAAGAGGCCAAGGGCAGCCCTGAGGGTGAAAGCAGCAGTGCTGAATGCCTCGAGCTTTAATCAAGGTGCTGAGAGCACGGCCTGGGTGAGAAAGTCCTGCTTCTGTCTCACAAACGTGCCCTGGTGGGGCTTCTCCCCTTAAACCTAGTGTGAAACAGGCGCCCGGGAAAATGCATGGCATTTCTCTCCTGAGAAGGGAAATAACTGCCCAAGCCTCTGGCATCCCTGTCTGGGTCAGGGCAGGCTCCTGCTTCGCAGGGCCAGGACACCCGCATCCCCACTGCTGCTTCTCAGCATCTCCACTGGGTGACCGGATGCCCCTTGGCAGGGAAAGCTGCAGCAAGCAAGGACATAAAACTAAGCTGTTGTCTTGGATTGCAGTGAAGATAACACATGGGAGCCAGAGGAGAACCTCGACTGCCCAGACCTCATTGCAGAGTTCCTTCAGTCCCAGAAAACCGCACATGAGAGCGAGAAGTCCGAGGGGAGCAAGCGCAAAGCGGAGTCTGACACAGAGGATAAAGGGGAGGAGAGCAAACCAAAGAAGAAGAAGGAGGAGGTGAGGCTGGGTGGGCTTTTCCTGTGCTCACCTCCCTACCCGTACACTTGGCAATGGTGTCTGGGAGCTGGAGCAGCCACGCTCCCAAAACCTCGCTCCAGCTGTTCTTAGTGACCTCAGAACCAGTCCTAGCACTAAACCGAACCAAATGGGTTTAGAGCACAAGGTTCTCCTGAAGAGCAGCACAAGGGGGGAAACAGGAGGTAGGGGTTGCCTGTTTTCCCTTGAAGAGGGAGAACAGGATGGAGCAGAGAACCTCCTGCTTCAGGTGCTCGTAGCTGCTTGGGAATAGGGGTGGTAAAAGGCTCTGCAGGCTGGGTTCATCCCAGGAGCTGCTGGGTCTTGGCCAGCACAAGAGTTTGACCAGCTTTAGGTCCTCTGCTTTAGCTTCAGCAGGATGCTTCCCCCTGGACCCAGCAGGGCATCCACTCTGCAGCAGGTTTACTCCTGAGTGATTTTCTCAGTTGCCTGCTGGCCTTAGTCATTATTAGCCATTATTAGTCATTATTAGTCATTGAGCTGAGCTCTTAGGCAGAAGCTCTTCCCTGTGAGGGTGCTGAGGCGCTGGCACAGGGTGCCCAGAGAAGCTGTGGCTGCCCCATCCCTGGCAGTGTTCAAGGCCAGGTTGGACACAGGGGCTTGGAGCAAGCTGCTCCATTGGAAGGGGTTGGAGCTGGAGGAGCTTTCAGGTCTGAGATTCCATGATTCTGGTATGCACATCTGACCCAGCCTCTCCGAGCAGCCACCGGTGTCCCCTGGTGAGCAGAGGCAGGGCTGTGGCTGTCCCTGGGGGATGCTGCAAGCGGCATCTCGTCTCTTTGCAGTCGGAGAAACCGCGAGGCTTTGCCCGAGGATTCGAGCCCGAGCGGATCATCGGTGCCACGGATTCCAGCGGGGAGCTCATGTTCCTGATGAAGTGGTGAGTGTGTCTTTGTGTCTGTCACTTCTTCACTTATTCTGTGCCAGAGAGGGAAGGACCTGCGCCTGGGGAGGCCCTGCTACCTGGCATGAAATCTCTGGCGATGGCGCTGCTGCCTGAGGTGACCCTCTGCGCTGAGGCTAACGTGGATGTGAAACGAGCAGGTAGGGCCCTTGGGGGTCGTGTGGCTCTTTGAGATGTCCCCCCCCCTGCAGCAGGCGCGAGCTTGGGGGAGAAAGAGGGGCACGGTGTCATGGCCCGGGAGAGGAGAGCCGTGACAGCGAGCGTGTCCCCTCCGGCTGTAGTGACACAGGGCTTGTCGCTGGTGCAGGTGGGAGCCAACCCAGGCAGGCGGAGCTGCGGGAGCCCTTGGCTTTTGCACCGTGTTGGAAGTCCGGAGTGGCAGGGGGCAGGGCCGCAGCTTTCACTCGCCTTCTCCTTCCCCATCCCCGACAACGCAGCGCTCAACTCACGCCTCGGTTTCCCCTGGGCTCCCGTGCTGCTTCTCCCTGCTCCGGAGCCACTCGGGAAGGGGGCACTTGGATGCCCCGAGCACCTCGGGGACTCCCGTTTTCCTGCTGCTTCTTGAGTCCTCTCCGGTCTCCGTTTCTTCCGCCTCCCCCTCCGCAGCCCCCTAACTTGCACCTCTGCTCTGGCCTGTAGGAAGAACTCTGACGAGGCCGACCTGGTCCCTGCCAAGGAAGCCAACATCAAGTGCCCGCAGGTGGTCATCTCGTTCTATGAGGAGAGGTTGACATGGCATTCCTACCCCTCAGAGGACGATGACAAGAAAGAGGACAAGAACTAAGCCCTGGCACCCGCTCTGGCCAGCCTTTGTATAAAGATCTGAACTGTGGGTTTGAGCAAGAGGGAGAGAACGCAGCTCTGCTCGGTTGGGAGCGTAGAGATGGCTGGAGAAGATGCCCTTTGAAGAGACCAGTATGGTTTCTGTGCCCTGCAGCTGCTCAACTGCTTTCTGCAGCTTCATGCTGTGTACAGATTCCAAGCAGCCCGACTCAAGGGGGGGGGGGGGGGATTTGGAAAGGAAGGGCAGGGGGATGTTGGGGTGGGAATGAGGGGAGGAAGTGGGGTGCTTGTTTCAAAGCTGCCTATTTCGCAGCTTGGGGGAGAGGAAGCAAAGCCCCTTCCATGAAGGACTATCCCTGGTGATGGGTGGGCTGGGGAAAGGGAGTGCAGATGGATACTGCTTATTCTTCAAAGACCATCTCAGCAACCCACAGCCTTCTTCCCAATAGTGTTAACTCTGCATTTTTACGGCGTAGCATGTGTGTAGGTTTTTGTTTTGTTTCCTTTCTTCTCTTGTTTCTTTTGCTATTTTACTGGTGTATTGGTTCAAAGGGGGGGGGGGGGGGGGATTTGGGGAAACTGGTCTCTTGTTTAACTGGGGAGGGAGGGGGGTGAGGTCTGGTGACAACGTTCCAGATCGTTTCCAGCTCTTTTGTAGAACATGAATTCAGAACAGAGAAGCAGAATAAAGGCAGGGCTGGTGGGGCGGGGAGGAAGAGCCCAGCGCTGGGGGCAGAGTGAGGGAGGCAGGGACACTGTGAATGTCCAGCTCTCTGGAGCCAGGATCCTCACCCCCCCACACCCTGCAAGCGATGTGGAGAGGGAGGGATAAAGGGAATGGGGGGGGGGGAAGGGGACGGGGACTTGTGAAAATGCAAACTTGTGATTCATTCGTATTGTCCTGCAGCAGAACTGCCACTGACACATGCATTGGGGGGGGGGGGGGATTTTAACCCTTCAAAAAGCCTTTCTACCCATCTTTCCATTACAAGGTGCTATTTCTCAGAACAGGGGGAGGGATGAGGGGGGAGCCTTCTACTTGTTCCTTCAGTTGACAATAGCCAGCCCGCAGCGTTGGGAACCTTCCCGTTGTGGGAGGGAGAGGGAATCAACAGCAGCACAAGCAAACAACCCAATTCCATTGTATCCCTGCCCGTGGCAGGGGGTTGGAACTAGATGATCTTACGGTCCTTTCCAACCCAAAGCACTCTGATGATGCTATCTTCTCCCATGAGAAGCGATGCTGGGAGGAAGCCTCACCTTGGTGCTGCTGGAGCTGGATGCGTGACCCCAAATCTTCCCCAGTCCTTGGGTTTGTTTCTTGTTTTGTCCTGTTTTTTGGCAATCAGATTGATTACGAATCCTCATCTATTTAATGGCCGGAGTCCTGAGCCCCACCAGGCTCCCGGCACCTCCGGGGGGGGCGGGCTGGGGGGGTGGGTATGTATCTGGACTTGCCTTGTACAAACCTTTTCTAAGAGCATGTGTTTAGGTTTCGTGAAGCCGTTGTTGAACTGTAAAGTCCGTGTTTGGAGTTGAAGCTCATCCCAAGCTCTGTCGGGTTGGGGTTTGGTTGTGGTTTGGTTTTTTTTTGTTGTTGTTTTTTTGGGGTGGTTTTTTTTTTTTGTTGTTTATTTTTTTGTCTCAATAAAATTTTAGATTTATAATCCCGATTTTTCTCTTCTCTACCAGCTCTTTGTGCATGCGATGAGTGAGGAGGTGTAGAGCGGGCGCGCAGGGATGCGGCTGCGGCTGCGGCTCCCACCGAGCAGGGGGAGCACTGGTGCAGCCCAGGGCAGCCGCTGGCTCCCGATTGCAGCCGGAGCCTCGGAGCAGCTGATCCCAGGTTCTGGTTTGTGTTGGCTTCCATCTGGAGAAGAGAAGTGTCCTAGAGGTTAGTGGATAGAGCCCGGTCTCACCCATGGAGACAAGAGGATGAGTCGGGACCTCCTTTGACGCGCGTGTTCCTTAGCCAGGACCTGGCAGCAGAGGTGGGGTAAGTGACCTTCACTTCCATTCTCAGCCCAACTTCATGCTTAGGGATGGGTTTCGAAAGCTCTGGCAGTGCTGCTGGTGGCTGCTCGGGTGAAGGTGGTCTCCCCTTTTGTTGCTGGTGTGGACTTGTTGACGGCTGTAAGCTCCTGTGTGTGGAGGAGAGGAGACTTCTCCTCGTGTGCAGTTGTACAGAGAGCAGAGTGGGCCAAAGCATCCCTGAGGGCAGGATCCCGGTTTCTGGCATTCCCAGGGAGCAGGATGGAGCAGGGAGGCTTTGGTGGTGGTCAGAGCTGAGCAGGGGCTCCGCCAGCCCCTCATCGACCCCTCAGGGCTGCAGAACCATGCAGCCCCTTGAACTCCAGGTCATTTGCAGCAGCTCAGCCTGTGCCCAGTGGGACAATGAAATCTCTGCCCTGCCCCAGCAGAGGCAGCAATTAAACCTGCATTAATCACTGCATGGAGAAGGGGAACGGCCACTTAATTGAGGCAGGGAAGGCTGCAGCTCCCCGGGGAGGCGCGGGGCCATCGATCGCAGCAGGTAGCTGGAGGATGCTCATTGCTGCAGCCCCCAGGGTGGGCTTGTGGTCATACTGAGTGTGGGGGGGCTCACGTGAGCTGCAGGCAGGCTCCAGATCCCGGGATACGGATCTGTGGCACCATGGGAGCAGGATGCATCACCTCCTGAGCAGCGGGCACTGGATGATTGTCTCCTGACCATTGTGGCGTGCGGAGTGCTCTGGGCTGAGCCTGAAGTGGGGCAGAGGCAGCTCAGCCATCCCCAGCAGGTGCTGAGGGCTCAGGCAGCAGCAGGACCTGGTTCAAAAGGCCCTGATGGTGGATAAGTGCTTCCTGCTTGCATTTGGTGCTGGGTTGGCAGCAGTGACAGCGCTGGGGCTGTGACCTCCTCACGTTGTCACCTTTCTACCATCATTCTAAAGCAGCCCTGGAGGAGTCTGCAGTAAGAATCCCCAAGCCCAGGAGGAGAGGCAGGAAGCACCGCAGAGGGTGGATTTTGATGCTTCGTGTTCCCCTTGCCTGAGCTGTTGCCATGTGTGGAGCTGGGCTGGCCTCAGCACCGACAGCAGGCATGGATGGACTCTTCCAGTCCCATGAGGAAAGGTTTAATCCTCAGGAAAAGGACATTTTCCCCATTGGAATCCTGGTGGAAGGCAATTGGGGAGCTTCTGCTTCCTGTTCTGGCTGTGCCTGGCCTGGGGAGGTGCAAGCTTTGGTGCCGTGTCCCACCCAGACACCCCGGCTTTTATTGCCAGGCTCTAGTGAATGCTCAGGACCTGCTCCATCATCATGCCACGAGATGGAAAACCCCACAGCACCTACGCCAGCCATGCAGGAAGGTGGTGGGTATGAAAGCCTTAGAGCAAGGCATCTCTAACCAAAGCATATCCAGTGCTGGTGGGGTGCAGAGGCTGCTGCCTGGCACTGCAGTGATTCAGCACCAGCCCAAGGTCTCGCTGGTGCCGCAGCTCTTCCCAGGAGCAGTTTTCCAGCCCCACTTGGTTGATCCAAGCTGTGCTCGGTGTCCATCTGCAGGGCCTGGGCTCCTGCCTGGCCCCAGGGGGAGGCTGTTGGCAGCAACATGGCTTCAGAGCAGCCTGACCCCTTCCTCTGGTGCTGCAGAGTCTGGGCCTGCCCTTGAGCCCGGCTGGAGGCGAACCCAGCTCTGCCAAGGGAATGGGGCTGGGACCAAGGGCTGGAGGCAGCCCTGGGCGCACAGCCAGAGCTTCCCACCAGCACCAGCCCGGCAGTGCCCCTCCGATGGCTCTGCTGCAGGATGAGGTGCTCCAAACCCGCATCCCTCGGCACAGGGATGGGGCAGGAGCCAACCTGCAGAGCCCCATATAAATACACTGGTGATGGAACAGCCCCTGGCTCTGGAACCAGCGCTGTGGCGTGCACTGGATGGAGCTGCAACAGAGAGGTTGGAGCTGCGTTGGTGGCGTCTGAACGCCTAACAGGACCCAGTGCTTGGCTCAAGGGGGAGGATGAGGCTGCACCAAGGCAGCTCCGACCTGCAGGGCCCAGCATCAAGCCCCACATGCCTTTGAGCAGCAGCGGCTTTGCTGGCTTCAGCTCCAGGACCCACAACGGGCTCCATGCACTGCGGGTTCAACCAGGACCATGCTTCTCCAAGGGCTGCTTTGGGAAGATGCTGTTGGGAAGGAAGGAAGAGCAGAGGAACCTTCTCCTCCCCTCCAACCTGGTACCGACAGGCTGGGATGACAGCAACGCCCTGGAGCTACCGTGGAGGCGCAGGACCCGCAGGAGGAGGCCCCGTCTGCTTTCTCTTTGAAGCAACGAAGAAGAAAACCATGAAGCAAACACGCTTGTACAGTGAATAAGCCGGTTTATTTTCGTCCTGTGCTCACAACAATCTCTCCTCGTTCCCTGACAGGTCACAGAGCACTCAAAAGAAGAGTTTCTAAGAGGAAAAATAACTTAAAACATCCGCGCAGGGCCCCCTTCCAACCTCCCCGCACCCACAGCTCCACCTCTTGTGCTTCAGCTCATGCCCAAGTCCAGCCACTGAATCTCAAGGAGCGCTCCTGGGGCTGCAGCGAGCGGATCCCCACAACCCCCCCTACCCCTGAGATCCAACCACCTTCCCCATGGCCTCTCTCCTGCCTGCACCAGGGTTCCTTCCCTTGCGTTCCCAGCCCGAGTCCTCCCTCAGCCCGACCCGCACGCACAGGACTGGCTTGGCAAAGCCTTGCTGTTGGGTTTGGAAGCTTTGTTTCTGTCGGTTGCTGGTAAAGTCGGCCGGCTCCCAGCTGTGCTATACTGCAAATACAGCTTCATAGGATCGCCTCCGTGGCGGAGACGGACAGTGATCAAGGCACTACCCCCACCCCCCTCCTGAAAACAAAGGAAGTCAGACCAACACCTAGGGACAGAAGAGAATCCTATAATGTGATCACACGGTTACACGGAATCTTTCGGTATGGCAAAGAGAACATTGAGCAGCTTTGAACGGTTGGGCTTCTCCCTTTGTTATGTTTCTTTTACTCAACACAAGCACTCAAGACCCTATAGGGAAAAACCAGGGCTGAAGCCCCAAGAAATCAAAGCGCGGTTACGGAACAGGAATCCTAACGGCTGTCTATAAGCTCTATGAGTGACGAGCCCACGGCTTGGTGGGGGACAGGGAAGGGGTTAAACCCTCTGCTCCCCTTGTGCTGTGCACTGCCGTGCACTCGCCCAGCTCCCGG